CCTGCTCCCCGTGCCCCCACCAGCCTGGGACATTGGGGGGGGTCATCATCCTTCCAGCCCACGGGGCTGGCACCAGCTGCAGCCCCACCGAGCTCTTTCGCAGAGGATGGCAAGAAGATAACGCCGTATTTATCGCAGCGCCTGGGTCGTGGGTATCGACATCGCTTTGCAGAGATCGGGGGAAAAGAATTTTTTAAAAAGCATACTTGATTAAAAAGAAAATTTAAAGGAGAGATCGGCAAAGCACGCCAGCAAACGGCAACCGTGGTGGCTCCGGTGGCCGGCCCGCCGGAGAGCCGCGCTGGTGCTGGGAGGAAGGCACAGCCAAGCCACGTTCCCGGAGAACAATGTCTGGCTGCACGGGAGAAAACAGGGAGCAAAGGAGAAGGACTTTCAGCCGGGTTCGTTTTTTCTTTCCCCCCCCACCCCAGACACTTGTGCCAAGAAACCAGACTTTCTTACAAGCTCTGCCAAAGAGTAACTCGGAAAAGCAAGCTTTGTGAAGAGCAGGAGTCAATGTTTGTGCACTAGGATATCCTCCCTTCTACCTTTTTCATATGTATTAAGTGCAATCATTTGAGTCTTCTTTATATTATTTAGAGGGAAGTGTTTTTTTTCTACTAGAAACGACAATATTTATACCTGCCTGAGAAACGAGAATGTGCGTTTGTAACAAAAAAAAAGAAACAACAAACAAAAAACCACCCACCCAAAGCAAACCCAGCTCTGGGCTGCCGCTGACCGGCGGGATGCCGTTTTCAGGCCTTGCAACCTTTTCTGCTGCGTTTGTCCCCGATAAAAACCCCTGTTCGGGGGGGGTGCCTCTCCTGCTCGGCGTGTGATGGGGTGAGTTTTTGCAGGGCGTTTGAGGTGTCTCGGTCCGTCCACGGAGGAGATGGAGCGGCTGGGATGGCTGTGTGCTTTCGGGCTGATCCTCCGCGGTTGGTGGGTTGTTCAAGCCCCGTTGCGAGGAAGGTGCAAAACTCGGCCCCATCACCTACTTGTTGCAAACCGGTTTGCTTCCCTGCAGGGGCTCAGGGACGAGCCGAGATCCCGGGGGAGACCGGGGGCAGGTCCTGAGGCAGGGTCTGGGGGGCACGCTGGGAGGAGAGGGGAGCTGCCCCTCCACTCAGCCCTGAAATCTCTCCCCCAGGTGTGGAGATCCCTGGAGAGAGAATCATCCCTCCCCGGCTCTGGGGAAGCTTCGTGCTTCCAAGTCCCTTCAGATGCTTTTGGCTCCATCCCTCTCCACGTGCTCGTCCTGCCGGGATGCTGCAGAAGCCCCTCCCCGGGGAACGGGGCACAGATCCTGGGGGGTGGCCCCGTCCTGCCGCACAGCCCCCCTTTTCACCACCGCCTGCCTTCCCCCAGCTTCGCAGACAGGCATGGCTGGGGACGACGGCCAGGTGGACGTCACCGTTGGGTTTGTCCCCCAGCATCTTCACGCGGCCAGACAGGATCCCTGGGGACAGGAGACGGCTGCTACCCGTCACCCCTCTTCCTCCTCCCCAAGCCTCGCTCCCTTTCCAGCCCTGCAACCGGCTCTCGGCTGTCACCTCCCTGCACCTTCATCCCCATCTTCATCCTCTGAAAGACCTGGAGCTGCCAGGATTAAATGTGGTCGACGTGCCTATAGCTTTCCTGTTGGCAGGTCTCCTCCCATCCCCGCTTGTCTCTCGCTGTCCCCTCGACCACATCTGGGGCGAACCCTGCTCTTAATGAACAACTGTTTATTGCTCTGCACGTCCCCCCCGGGGTCAGTCCTTGCCAAAACCGGGAGGCAGCTGCTCGCCCGTGTTTTCCCTCCTCAATCCATGCTGCTCCAGTGCCCCGCGAGCTTCTTCTGGGCTCTATTAGGGGCTGCGGGCTGGGTGAGCGCTGGCAAAGGGGGCTGAGGCTTGTCCCCAGGATGCGTCTGTTGGAAAAGTCTGTCCTGATTTATCCCAGCTGTGGATTTACCCCTCCCGCCGCCCGGCTCCCAGCCTGTTTGGAAGCTCAACGTCTGTGGGCTGAGCTGTTTGTCACTTGGTTGGTGTCTGAAAGCAGCTGCTTTGATGCACAAAAGCTGTTGTAGGGATT